AAAAACTCATTCTTCAAAAGAATGGATGCCAAACAATAGTGATCAAAAAACTTTTAAAAATCAATGGTTATTGAGAAACAACATTGAAAGTGTGGTCCAATATTGAGAGTTTTAACCACGAAATAATCATTTTTTTCCTTTTAAAAATTCATAGATTATCTATATAATATTTAAAAGTACTCGAGTTGATGTGTACTTTATCTATCCTTTTTTATATCTTTGTGAGCATAGAGAACACATTAAGCCCTGTTTGATTATAATTCTTTCCAAATTTTTTTTCTTTACACAATAAAATATTATGTCCTAAACCAAATTATTTTCTCTATTTTTAATCATAAATTCTCCTAAAACTATTCATAACTTTTTTTTAGAGTGGCCGCCAAACATGGGCTAATTGAACTCTGTAAAATAATTTCTCACACTTGGTTCCTTTCAAAATGTTTTTAATACAATTGTGCATTAATACACATTTTATATTTAGTATATTTTAATAAAACTGGATAAAATATGTGGTTGAAAAGTTATGAGATCTCTAAAATATGTGGTTAAAATTAATCGTTGAATTTAACTTAAATTAAAATATAAATTATAATTCTTAGGCATGATACATTTTATGGGTGTACATTTGTTCAACACATGGTAGGAAATGGAGTGGTTGGCTTGACGTTGAAAAATTGGTGTGGCATTCATTAATGTAACATTAATGAGCCAAAAAAGGGATATCCGTATAAGGTGATGATATCAAAATGGGGCATGCGATGCTATTTTCTGGATAAAATTCGTCCACGTATCATACTTTTCGTACACACAGTCATGTCCACACCCTAATATGTCCTCCTATTTAAATAAAAGAAAATTAATGGAAATATAATCCAAAGTTCTGTAAAAAAGTATAAATGAGTTTCAAATAAATACTTAAAAATTTAAAATAAAAAAAAATCAATTTCTCTTCCTTCCTACACCTTCTTCCCACCACCACCATTCACCACCACCACCGTCGTCGCCGTCAACACCAAAAAAAATTGTTAAAAAATACCTCATATCCTAACCGATGAAATAGTCCATATAGCCACCGAGCTCCACTTGTCATCGAAGCAAATTGCCGTAGTCCGCCGACATTTTTCCCGGCGAAAATTGAAACCGCCACTGTCATGATGAAATCCCCGTCAGGAACTCTATCGTGGAAATTCCATTGCCGAAGAGGTTTGATAACAAGCCCACTTCCAACCCACCTCATTGTCTAGCCCACATCACTGTTTCCCTCTCGCCAACGAGCTAGACTCCGATAATCGGTCAACTTATCCCCACCTAGACATTAATTTGGAGAAAGAATCAATCAGTACCATTTGAAACCTTCATTCTCTACCAAAAATCTGGGTTTTCATTACTATCTGTAAAAATTAAAGAACTCGACGTTTTTGAATTTGAATGTGTATACATATACACAAACAAACACATAGAGATGTGTTGTATGTGATTTGTTTTGGAGATTCTTTGTGAGATTAAAGGAAGGGTGCCAAATATTTTTGTGGTGGCTGCGGCGGCGGTGGTGGTGGTTGGAAGAAAGGGTAGGAAGGAAGAGAAATTGATTTTTTTTTTTTAATTTTAAAATTTTAAGTATTTATATGCAACTCATTTGTTTTATTTTTTCTTTATGCTTTATTTACATATGAGGGTATATTTGTGATTTTCAATCTTCTTATTGAGAAAATAGACGTAGGGTATTTCGCCAATTCCAATAGGTGGAGAATTTTTTTAGCACCATGCCTAATAGGTGGAGGAATTTTGCCCTTTCCATTTTTTCTATTTCCCCCTATTTGTTGGGATTTAACGACAACAACTAACGTAATATGATGACATAGGGTATTCTGCACAAAATGTTTAAAATAGAGACATTTTTCTACTATTTCCAATAGGTAGGGGGTTTTCCCACATTGTCCAATAGTTATGCTATTAAGCCTATTAATTGATTATATAACAATGTTGGCTTTTAGATTTAATCGTAAGAGAAATTGATTTTCATTTAAAAAATAAATTCAAATATATTATAGATCTTAGATCCCCTTTGATGTTAGTGGATTTTATTTTAAAATCTTCTAGGACGAGATCTTATCCTTATAAAAGCTTTTAATGGTCTTTTACCAACTAGCCAAAACTTTCCCCTTGTTCTCTCTTCAAGGTGTCTCATTTTTTGAAAAAATGTAAGAATATGACTAACCTTAAACATGACATTTGCCTATAAATGACATTTATATTACTCAATTAGGATTTCAGAGCTGTACAATTTCTTTTTGGACTTTATTGTAATAAATCAATGAAGTCCGACACCTATATTAGAGCTAAGAAAGAGACATAATCAGACTCATAAAACTTGAGCTTCCGTGGATGTTTCTAATTTGGTTAACTCTTGAACAATTAATATACATCTATTAATTTGAGTCTCACTATATTCGAATCATCAAGTATACATATTGTGATATCTTGTACGATCATGAAAATCTAGATTAACACGCAAATAATGAAATCATAATTCATAATATCGTTTACAAAACGCTACTCGAAGGGCATCAAACTAACATAACACTCAAGTGATGTATGAATTATGAATTGAAAGCCAGTGAATAGTTTTTATGAACACTAAAGAATTCACCCATTTGAATTTATAAATGAAAGTTGAAGTTATTTTTTGATTGTTATGATGTAAATCTTTTTGAACAAATTTACCATTTCAAGATATCAATGAGTATCCCGTGAGCCATTAGGGTACAAACAAATGTTTTTTATTAGCTGGGAATATGAGCACCACAATTTTAAAAGTTAAGCACACGAGTGCAACAAATGGTACGTTGAAGGACATGAATGTCAAACTAAAAGAGATCATAGTGGAGTTTACCCTTCTTTTTTGCTTAGCTTAATTACTGAAAATTTTAGAGGCTCTTTCCTCAAATATGTTACTGTTGGCATACAAAAAGTGTAGTCCAAATTGAATAGTCAAAGGAACGAAGTCCAATTAGGAAATTTAGGATGAAGGCTCAAATAAGACCATTAATGAATGCAGTGGAGGCTCATGAACAAGACACCATCATCGCCCAAGCTTGCAAGAGTGAATGGAGTACCTTAAGATCGCCCAGAGTGAATGAGCTCGTTCTCGTCCAAGCCTTCGAATCGCCCAGGATCTTAGCAAACATGAAGTATTATGGTTATCCAGAACAACAGTTATTGAAGCAGTTATTGAGCAACCTTATCACACCCCACGATCTAAGAATCACGGTTGT